CTATATCTCCACACCTTTCAAATTTTATTTTGTTTTGTTTTTTTGAGTCAGGATCTCATTATGTAGTTCAGGCTGGCCTTCAACTCATTATGTAGCCAAGGCAGGCCTCAAACTCCTGGTGATCCTTTTGCCTCAGCCTCCTGAGGGCTGGAATTACAGGCATGCACCACCATGCCTAGCTCAAATTTCATTTTGAAACAAATTCTCAAAAAGTCGCCCAAGCTAGGCATTGTAGTGCACACCTGTATTCCCAGCACTTGGGAGGCTGAGGCAGGAAGATCAGTTCAAGGCTAGCCAGAACTGCATAGCAAAACCCTGTCTCAAAAAAAAGTTGCCCAGGCTGGCCTTGAACTTGAGACCCTGCCTCAGCTGGGACTACAGGCATGCACTTCTGGGCCAGGCTTCACAAGAAATGCTATGGAATAAAACCTACTGAGACCAAAAATTCAAAGATAAATGGATATAACCTATCTGTTATGAATTGCAAGTTTGTGTCATTCCAAAATTGCTATGCTGAAATCCTAATGCCCAATGTGATAGTATTAGGAAGTGGGGCCTTTGGGAGATCATAAGTAGAGCATTCATGAGTGGAATCAGAGCCTTTATAAGAAGGACCCTAGAAAGCCTCACCCTCTTTCTGCCATGTGAGGATACAAGAAGCTACCTATCTGCAACCTAGCAGAGAACTCTCACTAGAATCAGCAACACTAGCATGCTGATCTCAGACTTCCAATCTCTAGAAGTGTAAACAATATGTTCTTGTCATTAATAAGCCACTCTGCTTGTGTTTTGTGATATCAGCCTGAACAGACTCAGACAAAAAAACTAAAAAAATAGTGCTTTATATCATAATGTTTCTCATGGTATTATCTATAATATTAAATAAATGGGGAAAAACACCAAATGCCTATTTGGGAGCAACTGTCACAATGAAATAGTATGCTTATATTATATAACGCTAAGTGGTAAAAATACTATAAATTTATTCCTATAACGTTACTACATCTCTATAAAAATATGCACAAGGAAAGACAGGAAGAAATACATGAAAGGTTTACGGTCATTCCTTTTTTTCAATCACTTCTTTATTTACTACAGTTCCCATGCTTTAGTCATCTTAGGCTATACTGAAGTACAGACCACCTCAAAAATCTCAGTGGCTTAACACACCAGCCTCTCATCCACATGCATTCCACTCTAGGTCAGGTGTACTAAATAATAAAATAACATCATTACTGGTACATTTTCTCCCTGTATTACAGGCTACTCATTGCATCAGGAAGAGGAGTTAATTTCCCTCTTTTAGAACCTATACTGGCCTCGGGGACTTGCCTTGACCAGTAGCATGTGGTAGCAGTGATGTTCCATGACATCCGACAGGTCATAAGAAACCTTCCGAATTCTTCCCAAGTACCTTGAAATATTTGCTCTTCGGATGTTTGTGGGGATCTGGGACCCATGCAGTGCGAAGCCACATAGGAACTCTGGTTGGCAGATCCAGAATACCCAGTCAATAGCCAGCATAAATTGCAGCCAGACGGGAGAGCCATTTTGGACTCCTGCTCAGAAGAGTGATTAGGACACTGCAGCTCCAGCCAGCAACTGACTGCAGCCATGACAGCCCCAAGGAGGAGCCGCCCAGCAGAGCCCAGTCCCCCACAAGGAGTCGTACGTGTGATGGTTAATCTCCACGATCGATCTTCATGGTCAGCTTGATTGGATTCAGAGACCCTGGCTGGACTGCGAGGCTGCTAACCTCATCAGTGGATTAACCCACTGGGGTGTTCATAACTGAGTGAGCTCCCTGGAAGCAGGGCAGGTTGGTGGGAGTAGGGGATGACTCTGAAGCATGTATCCTTTCCCCAGCCTCTTCCCCTCTGGCGTTTTCCTTCTCTTCCGCTTTCTGGCTTCCATGACGTGAGTGGCTTTCCTCTGCCATGACTTTCTGCCCTGATATTTCTGCCTCACCTCAGGCCCAGAGAAATGGAGCCAGCCTAACACGGACTGAGACATCCGATACCCTGGGCTAACACACATTTTCCCCCTTTCATTTGTGTGTGTGTCAGCTGTCGCATCCCATCAATGGAAAGGTGACTGACACAGTAAGAGAGCATTGTAAACTGGTGCTCTAAGTGTTGGGGTACTCCACACACAGAGATTGATAAGCAGAACATCTGATGACTCCCCAGGGCAACTGACATCCACATAGTGATTTCTTCATTGATCCAGCACCGCCATCCTAAAGGGGAAGGGAGTGTTCCAAGTTTCAGTAGGACCTTCTGCCGCCTCAGCCTGGGAGAGACATACATCATTCTGGCTCACAGTCAAATCGTATCACCCACATAATTCAGAGTGACCTAGGAAGTGTAATCTACACATCTAGGAAGGAGATGCACTGGTAAAAGCTACCAAGCCAAGGAAAGCATGGTGGCACATGCCTGTAATCCCAGCTACTCAGAAGACTGAGGCAAGAGTATCAAAAGTTTAAGAGCAGACTGGGTAACTTAGCAAAACCGTGTTTCAAAAGAATTTTTCAAAAGAGCTGTGTATGGATCTCAGTCCTTCCCAGTGGAAAAAAAAAAACAAAACTCTACCCAGCCTGTATACTATTTTCACTTTTTAATTGTGAAATATTCCAAACATAACAAAAGTACAGACTAAAATACTATGAAAAATAAATAAAAATAAAGTACTAGGCACTTATCTACTCACTATCTAAACTTCTAAATTTTGTAACCACACACACATACGTACACACACACACACACACACACACAGAGCCTTACCGGTAAAATGATCATTAGATATTAAATCCCCAAGAGCTTTCGTGGATGTCAGCAGTAAGTGGTGATTGGAACCCTTCAAAGGACACCTTGTTCTAACACCTTAACAAAGCCCTTCACAATCAGTCCTCACCCCACCTTTCTGAATAGCTTACGGTTTTCCTGCCAACACACTCAATCAGGGATGTTCATTATTTTTGCCTTCTTGCTTACACTTACTCTTCTTTCGGTAAAGCAACACTCCGAGCTTCCTTTGCATAGCATGCCTGCCCAACTCTCAGCAAAACAGTGTTGATGAGATTAACTCTCCCTCTGCTCCAAGGATTGTCTGGTTTGTGCCCAGCAGGAGGTCCCACACACCTGGGTGCAATCATCAGTCGCCTCAGAATGAAGCCAGAAACAGCTGACAACCAAAGGAAGAAATGTTCTCCCTCCTGCTGACATAAACAAGGAATCATAGAACTCCAGGACTGCTGCATCTACCTTGAGACCAGAAAAGAGGTCTGCCCTACAATGCACCTCCTGCAGGGAGACACCAGAAGGGAGAGGAAAATACAAAAGACCCTTGATGTCCTCAAGCCTCATCCAAAGCCTGAACCACCTCAGAACTTTTTAGGCGCTAGGACAAGTCCCCTTTGCTGTTTAAATCAGTAGAAATCGGGTTTTCTATTGATTTTTCATCGAAATGCTCCTAATTAATGGTGCCAGCACTGTGATCAGTCACACTTTAGTCACTTTCATTTCCTTCAAACACGTGAACTTTGATTTCAAAGCACAGTTAAATGAGCCCAGGGTGTATTTCATCAGAAACAGCATGATCCAGATCCCTACTTAGAATAGCTGAAGAACAAAATCACCACCTGCAGCATCTAGGAAAATTCTTCAAAAGCCAAGAGTACTCCAGATTTCCAGCTATCGGAGAGTGTCATTCCTCAGGCGTTGACTTGCAGACATCTGTCACTTTCAAGCACATGCCAGGACAAATGGGTGGCTGCGGCACTCTGAGACCCAAGCGGGCCTCAGAGCCATGTGCTGAGCCCTCAGGTTGGGCACAGCTGAGAAGCAGCTGTGGGGCAGTGTGACGACAGTTCCCAGGGGCCCGAGGCCTGGTGTGTGTGGGGATGCGCATGGAAAAGCCCCTGCTGAGTCAAAGGTATGATGTGGTTGTGTAGATGGGGAAGGGTGTGTTCCTTCGAATGTGTGTGACACCGCTCCAACCAGGGTGGCTGTGTCACCTGGAGAGAGTTTGTCTCAATGACATCGGAAAGAGGAGAGTGGAGAAAGAGTTTTCAATCTGAGGAGCAAGACTCTTTCTCTCCCGCTCCAACTACCATTCTCAATCACTACATTTGAACAGCTAGAGAAGCCCCCAAGAAATGATGGCAGGATAATGTTTAAAGGTTGCCCAGGAAGCTTGGCACAGTGGTGCACACCTGTAATACTAGCTACTCAGGAGGCTGAGGCAACAGGACTGAGGGTTGGGGGTCAGCCTGGGCAATTTAGTGCAGCGCTGTCTCAAAATAAAAAATAAAAAGGGGTGAGGAGGCACTGGGGACTTAGCTCAGCCGGCCTAGCAAGCGCATGGTCGTGAGTTCGATTCCTCGTACTGGAAAAAAAACAAAAAAGCGGGGGGGGGGGGATGAGGAGGTGGCATAGTGCCAAGGCCCTGGGTTTAGCCCCTAGAATCACCAAAATAAAAAATAATAATAATAAATAAAATTAGCCAGGGACATCTTCCAGAAAAATGTAGCAAATAGAACACGTGGTTCATAGTCTTCTCAACAAAATAAATCTATTTTTTCTTGGGTCACTATCATTTTCCCCTTTCTCTTTTCTAAATAAAGCCCTACAGTTCTTTTTATTAGAAATCCACCCTCTGACAAAGGGTTTATTGACAACTTTCCATACATTAGTCCAAAAAATACAACAGGGGCTGGGGATTTAGCTCAGCGGCAAAGCGCTTGCCTAGCAAGCGCAAAGTCGTGAGTTCGGTTCCTGGTACCAGAGAAAAACCAAAAAAAAAAAAAAAAAAAAAAAAAAATACAACAAACACCATCTCATACAGCAGTCAACATACTTGGAGTCCTAAAAAAAATAAATACTGTTAACAAAATCCCCCCCAAAATCTAACAACTTAGTTTTAGTTGCGGACAGAACTTTCATCCTCACCGAATGAACCCAATTAATCCAGCAGAGAATTCAAACCAAGGACGCAGGTAGAGAAGGAAGCAGATTTTTAAAAAATTTTTCTTAGTACATGTTTGCAGTACAAAATTACATTGACGGTGGGGAATTGTACCTAACACATCTCGATTGGTTCCTCCTCTTTCCCTTCCCCCCTTTTTTTGCTAGCCTCAGATTCATTTACTTATTTTCTAATTCCTTATAAAATTAATGGACATATATACAGATTAACAGCCAGACTAACAGGCCAAAAGGAACCCGATTTTAAAGTAACTGCTTTTGTGACACAGACCCGGGGCTGGAAAAGGCAGCTCAGGGCTAGGCTGAGCCTGTCACTATCACGACCAGCATGTGTTCCTCTTCCAGCTTGCCCAGGGTCTGCAGGGCCGACTGCAGGTACTGCTCTGAGAAGTGGCAGGGCGGGAAGGCGTAGAGCATGCCCTCGCAGGGCCTGCCCTTGGGCCCACCCACAGGCAGGCTGATCACCCCTGCAGCCTGCTTCCCCTTCAAGTAAGAGACCAAGTTCCTGAGAAGTCGCCTCTGCAGGCCTGGCTCCACGGCGGGCATCCCCTCGGTGCCAGGCCCGCTGGAGACCGACTGTGTGGCTAGAAGCACGGCGTAGCCACGGGCTCTCCCCCGCCCGATGCGTCGCGTGACCTCGTCGAACTTGGGCTGGTCCAGTCGAAGGCGCTGTGTCATCCTCAGCTGGGTCAGCCTGCTCCCGGAAGTCTGGTCTCTGAGGAGTCCACTGATAACTCCCTGGTCCCCCTCTAGGACATACAGAGATATCGGGAAGCAGCTGTTTTTCAGCACTAGAAGCCCCTGCCAACCCAGCTGCAGCGTCTGAGCGTACTCTGAAAGAGTCTTCAGCTTTTTGGGCTCCTGTTTTGATTCTTCCTGAGGCTGGGGCTCTGCCTCAGGGGTCCCATAACTGCACTCTCTCTCTCGTGTCTTCTTCCGGTAGAAAGACTCTGGGGCTTCGCGGTGGAGGTGGTGGCCCCACTCCGCAGCCCCACGTCCGCCGCTGAGGGAGGCGCTGCCTGACTCCGTGGCCCCTGCGCCAGCGTGGCTCCCCTCGCAGTCATACTGCTGCCCAAAGCCCTGGGTCCAGCTCCCCTCCTTGTAAGCACAGGGGGCTGTCCTCCCGCGGCTGTCCTCCGGCCGGTCTTCCCAGGGCTTGGACAGGCCTCGCGCCCGGTCCCCGGCCCAGCGCTCCCCACTGCGGCTGCGCACCGAGCCGCCCGGGCCCCCCAGGCTGGGTCTGCAGTCCGCACCCTTCCTGGGGCCGGTCCAGTCCCCTTCCAAAAAGGTCCGGTCCCGCTCTAAGTGCAGGTACGGGTGGGTCTTATCTTGCGCCCGCAGGTCCGCATCCAGGGCTGGGCGCCGGGTACACCCATCCGCGAGAAGCTCATAATCCACCGGGAGGGGTGCGGGTGGGTACCGCGGGGGGTACCGCGTCTCCTCCGCCTTGGCGAAATCCACCCGGAGCCTGCGGCGTGGCCCCCCCAAAGGAAAGCCCCTCATCTTTGCACAGGCGACCCGGGCTGCGTCCAGGCTCTCGTACTGGATGTAGGCGAAGTTATCTCCCTTGACGTGGTCAATGCTCCGAATGATTCCAAAGCGGTCGAACTCGCGGGCCAGGGCGGCCAGGGAGGTGCCGGGTCCCAGGCCGCCCACCCGGAGGCGCGTGGTGGGGCTGGCCCTGCCGTGCCCGCTCTCCTCGGGGCTCCTGCCGATCCCGCGGCCCGCCGCGGCCGCCTGCGCTCGGTGGGCCATGTCCAGGCTCCGGAACAGGAAGGCGCGGGCCGCACCCTGCCCTCGGGCAGGCGTCGTGCCGTCCCCTTCCTCGACGACGCCGAACTTCCCGCACGCCCGGCGCAGCTCCCGCTCGGACACCATGTGGCCCGGGTGTCCGACGAACAGGTTC